GCAATGAATGAATGGAAATCCAAAATCTCTGTAAATGCTCATTAAAATTATTTTTTTTAAAAAAGAAACATTAACTGAAACCAAGCTCTTCCCACTCCACTCTACTCTACTAGGAAACTTTCTATCAAAACCACCCTTACAGAACAAAACATAAACTCAGAGACACTGAGGACGGTTTTGGACTTTGCCAACCTTTAACACACCACCTTCTGTGATGCGAGGAGTCCTGGTGGGATGGGAAATGACAAACAGTCTTGGCTGCTAACCCAGAAGGCAGTTCTGGGGGCCTAGTGGGTAAAGAGTTGCGCTGCCAACCAAACGCATGTGGTTCAAATCCAACAGCTGCTCTGCCGGAGAAAGACGGGCAGTCTCCTCCTGTGCAATTTCCAGCCTCCACTGGAGGGCCAGCCATGAGTCAGTTCTGACCTGTGACGATGAGTTGGTGATGGGGGTGGAGGTGCTTACTCAGAGGGATCTCAAAAGAAAAATCTGGCAATGAAAACTCACCCACTGAAAACGCTATGGAGCTAAGCCCTAATCTGACACACATAAATAACCAAGAGTCAGAACTGACTCCCTGGTACCTGGAATCCCTCATGAAAAGCCACTGCACCCAGGCAGCCAAACCATTTGCAAGCAGCTGTAGTGGTCAGCAAGTTCTTTCACTTAAGATGGGGAAGAACTCTTCTTCCAGTGAATTCTCTCTCTGACCCCTCCCATCCTTCCGGTAATGGGCTTTCACCTTTGCCTACTGATGCCACACACACACACACACACACACACACACACACACACACTCAGCAAGTTCCTCTTCTCAGTTTGAGAAGTACCCAGGCTCCTCCACGAGAGGGCAGATGAGAGACCAAGACCCTGAGTGTTGAGCGGAAAACTGAGGGAGGGGTCATTCTCTGTGTCCTTCAGGGTAAGAGGCAACCTTGTTTCTACAACCTGGTCTTCAGGACGAATCTAGAAGGCTGCCAGGAGCAGTGTTCCTTGCTCATGCAAGTCCCCAGATGCTGTAAGGGCTACTTTGGGCGAGACTGCCAGGGTAAGAATTCCTCTCCTCCCTTTGCTCTTCTGAAAGGATTGTACGCTCACTATGCCATGAATCAAAGCACATAAGGAGGTGGAAAATCTTCCTCCTAATGACTTCCCCAGCTTAAGAGTGGTCATTTTGGAGTAGTTTGTATATTTTTATTTCCTACAGTGTTTTTTTTTAATTTTATTTGTTTTCTTTTATTCTGGTTTACTGACCAAGTTCATATACCTTGGGCTTAATCATAGGGTCACACAAATTGATGAATATAGGGAGGGGTGGATAACAGAAAGAGGAAAGCTCTCCTACTGCTTTCTTTTGATACCTCTTGCTTTCTGCTGCATTTAGATTTTCTGGGATAGATATTGAATTATGTGCCGGTTTCTTTGTTTAATATTATAGTGTAGACATTTTCCCATGGTGCTCAAGACCCCACAGATTTCATTTCTGATGCCACACAATGTCAAGCATGGGGACTGAATGCATCTGATATGATTCTACCTTATCTGAGTGGTACACTGATAACGATGTGTGAGAGTCAAAATTTCTGGAAAACTCCCTGTTATGGGGTGTGAAGCCTTGCCCTATCACTCTGCCACCAGGAATTTAAGCACTGAAACCTCGCTGTCTCGATAGAGCCTATGGCACATCCACAGTGAGTTCAATGCTAATGAGTCAACAGTATATGTTAAATAATTGTCTTTCAATGGAAACTCACATAAAACAAGTATACTGATCAATTGATGAACCCTATATGACCCTACAATGGTTTCATATTCATTATATCGGTGCCAGTTGGCAACTTTATAACTACTGAGACTAGCAAGAATCCACTGTATTTCAATTCATTTCATCTTCAACAACTCCTGGGAAGTAGGTTCCATTGTTATGCCATTTAACAGGTGAGAAGACTGAGGCACAGAAAAGGTCAAACTTAAGGGCCTCATCATGCTTTCCATTATTGCTCGTGCTCCATTCCTTGAGGTCTAGTTGGGAGAATCTGAGCTGGCACCCAGCGTCTGCCCTCTGCCATTGAAGGGCAGACCACTTACAGATTAGCACCATTCCTTATATGCAAAAGGCTCCCAGCTCTGTGACCTCCTTTGGTCCTCACAAGAGCATTGTGGGATAGTAGAGGAGGCATCATTATTATGGTTGTTCCTCTTGTTTGCTGTTATGGAAATAGCTAGTTCATGGTGCCCCTGTGCATAATGGAAGAAACACAGCCTGGCCCGATGCCATCCTACGATTGATTGCAAATCAGGCTATTGTGAGCCACGGGGATTACTTGGGCTAATGTTTTGAAGTCGATTCCCAGGTCCCTCCCTCATCTTAGTCTGGAAGGTCTGACCCTGTTCAGTGTCGCCTCAACTCCACGGACGGACATTGGTGATTGCACGTGAGGTATACCGGCTGGGCGTCAAAGCCAGGTCTCCCACATCAGAGGGGAGAACTCCACCAGTGAACCGCCATTGCCCTCAGCTATCTTTATCTACAGCTAAGAAAACAGAAGCTCAGAGTTCATGACTTAGCCAAATCTACTCAATTTCTGGTATCCTGATCCCAGTATGGCTCAGTGTAGTTCCAACGTGGCTTACTAGGTATCAGACACATTTAAGCTCGTGTTCCATAACCCAGGGACTTGCCCTGAACATCCAGTTATACCTGGGACTACCGTCCCTCTGGGTGTGAGAATGCCAAGCTGAAGCTGGTCTGACAGCACCATTTACAAAAGCCTCGAGCTGCTCCGGGCAGTTGCTGAGCCCCTGAGGTCTCCTGTCTTCCAGCCTGCCCCGGAGGACCGGACAACCCGTGCAATAACCGGGGCGTCTGCCTCGATGAGTACTGGGCCACGGGAGACTGTCGTTGCAACGTCGGCTTCAACGGGACGGCGTGTGAGCACTGCTTACCTGGCAGGTTCGGGCCCGACTGTCAGGGTATGTGAACCTCCCCCTCCCTCGCCCGACACCGTGTTGTTCCTGGCTTTAGCTGTGCACTCCTCTCCCCAGCCATGCTGTCAGCCTGACCAAGAAGTTCGTTGTTCTGCTTTCTCCAGGCCACCCACGTCTTATCTGCCTGTCACATGTGCTTCTTTCCTCCTTGGGTGTATTCCCAGTTCTACCCATGGGAAGACTCGCCTCTGCAATAAAGCTTCCCTTCCCTGCAGCTGCAGAAGTGAGAGCTGTGGCTGGCCTATATTCATTCGTTCAACAAGCAGATAGTTATTGATTGCTTATTAATAGTGATATCTACTGTGCATTTATTTCTTTATTCATTTACTTAAAATATAAATAAAACAAGAGTCCAGGAGTCATTGTCAACTCGACAGTAAATAACAACAACAACATAATTACACCTATAATTCAGAAAAAGGAAGACCCTCGATGAGATAGAAGTGGCACAGTAGCTGCAAGAGTAGGCTCAGACATAACACTGATTGTGAGGAGACTAATAAAAACACTGTGAAGTGTTTTATTCCATTGTACAAAAGGTTGCTGTGAATCAGAATTGATTCAATGACACCTAACAACAACATGATTATTTAGTTGATGATTAACTAGATGAGTAAGTGCTTACTGTGTGACAGGTAAGTAGGTTTTATTCAATCTTCCTAACAACACTTAGAGGCAGGTGCAATTATTATTATTATTATTATTATTATTCCCACTTGACTGGTGGAGAAGTCAAGACCTTGTTTTAAAAGTCTGAAATGATCCCAAATTCTAGAAATAAGGAAGGATGGAAAACAAAATTCTAGCTTTCATGAGTTTCTATTCAAAACAGATAAAAAGCTATAAGGAAACAGATAAAAAGAAGAAACAGATAAAAGCTATAAAGACAATTCTAAAAGCTGTAAAGAAAAAGCACACACACGTAGGGGATCGCGAAGGAAAGGAGGCAGTGTTTTATAATAGAAGACATCTTGGACAGGGAGCCTCTGAGCCAAGCCCTCCCACAGATGAGGGAGACTGGCATGGGGATCTTGGGAGAAGCACTGTCCAACCAAATTCAGGGCTACTGGAAATGTACTACAATGCCATTGTCCGGGACAGTGGCCACATGTGACCATCGAGCACTGGAAAAATGTTTCCTTGTAACTACTTTAAATGGAAATAGATGCCTGGGCTTAGTAGCTACTGTGCTGAACAGCAAAGACTAGAGGAACGGCTTTGCTGACAGAGAGGAGGCAGTGCAAAGGTCCAGAGGTAGGAATGGGCTCGGAGCATAAGACCAGTAAGATGGTCAAGTGGCTGAGCAAGGTGGACAAGGAAGAGGAAGGGAGGAAGGAAGTGAAATCTGAAGGCAACCAGAGGCCAGATCATACATAGATCATGTAGGAGCTTCTTGGCCAGAGATAGGTCTTCAGATTACATTCTAAATGTTGAGTGGCAGCCAGAGGAGAATGGATCAGGGAGTGTCATGAGCAGATCGAGAAGGATTGAGTAGGATGGGGGCAGGACGACCTCTAGGGAAGCCAACGTAGCCATTTAGGTGCACCTTAACCAAGCTGTGATAGTGCTAAGGAGTAATGGAACTGGTACATATTTTAAAGGTTTTGTTATTGACGAACAAGATCAGTGTGAGCCAGAGGACCATAGCTTTCACCAGCTGGTTCACAGAAGCAGATCACCAGGCCTTTCTGCCTCATCTTAGTCTAGAAGCTCCACTGAAAACTGTTCAGCATCATAGCAACATACAAGCCTCCGCTGACAGACGTGAGGTGCACTGACTGGGAATCAAACCTGGATTTCCTGCACAGAAATAAAAAATTCTACAGTGGAACCCTCATTTGCCTCTCTCACCATGACACTTTCTCCTTCTGCATGTATGGCATTCATTGCATCTATAATTATGTGAGCAAATAAATAGCTAGTTCCTGCCTAAACTGTAAGCTTCTTGAGATCAAGGACAACCTCTGTTTCAACCATAACTTCATCGCCTACTAGTGTGTACAGTGAATACAGATGTAAAAAGAGAGAATGAAGAGGAGGAAGGGGAGAAATAGAGAGAGAGAGAGAGAGAGAAAGAAAAAGAGAGAGAAAAAGACAGGCATAGGCACAGGGCCTCCCATACTTCGTCTCTGATCACTGCTCTCGTTTCGCTTTCCAGTCTGCGTCTGCTCGGAACACGGGCAATGTGATGACGGGATCCTGGGCTCCGGGCAGTGCCTCTGTGAAGCAGGGTGGACAGGCCGCTTCTGTGACGTTCGGACAGGTCAGTCACGGGCAGTGGTCAGCTGCCAGACCACTCCAGGAGCATCCAACTGCATCTCTAGGCCTGAGTCACCCCAGAAAAGAAACCAAAAAAATAATGCAAATGTTCTCTTTCCATGAGGAAAAGATGATTTGGCTAAGTGGCCCTGGAATCTGGGAGATTTGGTGACTTTCAGGAAAATTAATTGAAAATATTCCGTTAACTCGCATCCCGGAAGCCAGCGTACCTGCCAGTGCAACTAAGGAAAGTCCAGTTCAAGCAAAGAATCCCAGGACAGGCAGGGTGGGGTTTCTGTGTCACGTGGTCACAGTCATCTAAATTTTTCTTAGCTCGAGACTGAGAGATCTAATAGGAAACACACAGTCTTGGAGTCCTAAGGACCAGCATCTGACCCCTGATTCTGCCCCTTATCAGGCAAATGGCCTTAGGTAACTCACCCTCTCTCAGCCTTTATTCGTTCATCTACAAAAAGAAAACCACAGGCCTTGTAGGCAGCAGGATTGCTTGGAGTGTCGGGATCACATTAAAAAAAGAGTCAGGTGTGAGCAGGCCCACCACCGTGGTCACTGCCATTGTCATTGTCACTGTCATCTTCATCACACCACCATCCCCGGTTGTTGTCAAGTCAATTTGGACACATGGTGACCATGTGTGTGTCAGAGTAAAGGTGTGCTCTCTAGGGTTGGCAATGGCTGATTTTCCAGCAGATTGTTGTTGTTATGTGCCATCAAGTCACCTGTGACCCATAGTGACCCTATGTACAGCAGTTTTGAAGCCTGCCCTGTCCTGATCCAGTCTCACTGATTCCAACACACCAGCCCCCATTGCCCTAGTCACTGTATCAATCCATCTCATCCAAGATCTTCCTCTCCTGCACTGTCCTTCCACCCTTCTGGGCATGATGTCTTTCTCCGAGGACTGGTCCCTCCTGGCCATGTGCCGAAAGTATGTGAGACAGAGTTTCAAAATCCTAGCCTCCAAGGAGAAACTTCAAAAACCCTAAGTACAGTAGAGCACACTTAGAGTAGACTAACTTTCAGTAGATTACCAGGTCTTTATTCTAAAGCTCCTTTGGCTGGACTCAAACGTCAAGCCTTTTGATTATCAGCCTAACAAGTTAAAATGTGTAACAGCCAGGGGCTTCTCCTCATTCCTCAGGAATTAGTCTTGTGAGGTCACCCTCACACCCCACGTCCCGTGTTCTGGAAGATGTAGATGCGTGAATTGTTGACATTTCATTCTCCCAGGCATCTCAGAGGTGTGACTGGGCTGTATGTTGGGTTTTAGGTTGTAGTTGTTCTTTTGTGCCAGTGAGTTGGAATTGACTCATAACCGACCGTCCAGTGAGTTAATTTGCAGAGGTTAGTAAATTGCACAGGAGGAGATTGTTCCAAGGTGCTCATTCTTCTAATTGAGCATCTTTGAGTTAGCAGCTCAACTGTTTACCACAAGGCCACCTCTCCACTGGCTTATGGCAACTAGAAGTTTCAAGAATTCTGACACTATGTTTCCTTCCAAGTCTTCCTAATGTCACCACTTTCTTCCCCTCCCCTGAGCCTATGGCCTACTGCTAATACTCATGTTGACATTGTCTGACCATGAAGCTCAAAAGCCATGGAGTTTCCCCTCCAGTTTAACCATCTCCTTCTGGAACCCCATGCCCTTAGAGCCTGAGAGAAAACCTGCTAAATCACTTTGAACTCACCAGCCACCCCTTGGCAGAAAAATGGTCAATGTCCTCCTCCTGAGACGTATAACCTCTGGAACCCTTTGGGGCAGTTCTACTCTGCCCGATACAGTCTCTATTTGATGGAATCTGCTTGATGCCAATGAATGAGCAAGCGAGGTTTCAGAAAGTCCTGGCGGCACACTGCTGCACTGTAATCACAGGGTTGCTGCTTCCATACAGCACTCCATGGGAGAAAGAGAAAGCAGTTTGCTTTCCTCAGATTCGATTCTGACCCATATGGTTGCTCTGAGTCAGAATCAATTCAGAAGTAGTGAGTCTGGTGTTTATGGAGTTTAATGAGGTTTTGGGTGCAAAATTTGTGTTGCCTACAAGGAGGGGACTAGTCCTTGGAGGGGACGTCATGCTTGGAAGGGTGGAGGGAGAGCGCAAGAGTGGAAGACCCTCAATGAGATGGATTGACTCAGTGACTGTGCTAATGGGAGACAATGAGGCTGGCTTGGAATAGAGCAGGATTCAGACCAGTTGTGCATAGGGTCACAGCACACACCAACAACAACCCCTCTAAAGGCCACACACACACTTGCATTTTACTCTGGATAACATAGTAAAGATAATGACTATAGGAGTGTGATAAGATAATGATAAAAGAGGAGCTTTTGAATCTCTACCTCTAGGTTGGAAGTACCTATGGGTTGGAATGGACTGTGGCAAGCCTCTCATGCTCCATTGTATGAGAATAGCTGGGGATGGGTGGAGGGCTTGTGAAACATAGTGATGGGCCAGAGAGAGACAGACTTGGGGCAATCCTTAAGCGAGCCCCAGCTCTTCATACGGTTGAACAGGGGCCATTTCCTTTGCAGTCTTACCTCCAGAGTGCAACCCGCCTTGTTCCACGCATGCCACCTGTAAAGAGAACAACACGTGTGAGTGTAACCTGAACTATGAAGGTGACGGAATCACATGTACAGGTGGGTGCCTTTGTCTCTATGAGACCGCAAAGAGAGGGTGAGAAGATCGGGTCTTGTTCCGGGTCCCTGAGCCCCATCTTAATCTCTTCTACTTCCTGCCCAGGTGAACTCAGCAATACTTACCATCTCTGAGACTCCGTTTCCTTATCTGAAAATGGATTTGCTCATGCATGCTCATTTGCCCACCTCCTAGATCTTGGTATTAAAATTGCTGTGTCAAGCATTAGGGCTGTTACAGTTTTTCCCTAACTCTGTTCAATTTTGTGTCAAAAATTAAGAAAATGCACTGAAGTATAGAATTTTTTTGGAAAAATAGTAAACTTACTCTCACTCGTTAGTGAAAACTGTTGTGAACACTGCAATGTCTATTTATAATGCTTTAGATACAGGTTCGACCATACAGAGTGACATAAAATTCTTCTAAATGAAGAGTGGCAAAAACAAGGGAGATGTTTTTCTGTTTCACATAATGGAAAGAAACATCCAGGATTAATACACAGATTTTCTTTGAAAGGCTTCCAGGAACCCAAACTCCTTCCACCTTGTTGCTCTGCCATCCGGTGATCAATTTCCTGGTCCATGATGGGCTAATGCTACATAAACATTTTCTAGGCAGTCAGATAGAGGAGGAGAGGAAACAGACACCTTCTCTTTAAAGACATGGCCTAGAAGTTTCAAAAATCACTTTTGGCTCCAACCAAGTGGCAAGAATCTTACTATTTGTTACGTCTGAGCTGCCAGGTAGCCTGGAAGAGTTGCCTGGGCAACTATGAACACAGCTGAAAATTTACTAAATAGTAAAAAGGAGAGAATATGCAATGGGGGAAAGCTGGTAGCCTTGGCTACATGTCCTAATTCTTTTCCATGAATATGTAATCTTATTTCTGTGTTGTCGAGAGGAGCAACGCAAGTGAAATATACGTAAATAGAAAGATAAATTTACTCACATAATTGTAAGGGATGGCAAGTCCCAAGTCTTAGAGGCTGACTTAGAGTCATGAGGCTGGCTTGGAATAGAGCAGGATTCAGAGCTGTTGTGCATAGGGTCACAGCACACACCAACAAGTGTGTCATCCTAAGTCATCTGACTTAGAGTCAGATGGCACATTGAATACCTCTAACAACTCACATTGTTGTTGGGGTTGGCAGATCCAAAATCTGCAAATCTGAGATTTTCTATAGGCTTTCATTCCAAGAGCCAGACTATAGCAATGAGTAGAAAGTGGGGCTGAGAAAAAGAACAAACTTCTTTTTACATTGTGGAGATAGCCCCGCCCCATCTCCAAGGAAATTCCCCTTTTGGTTGATTGGAAAACTCTCCTTTTGATCTTATCACAGCAGATCACAAATGGAAGAGAATCCTATTAGGAGATAGCATCTGCTAAGCCATTGAGAATCACAGCCAAGTCTTGGACATGACACCATGAGTTACTGCACTAGGGGACCCCAGTCCTACCGGCCCCACTCTGCTGACTCTCAGTGCCACAAGTACTGGGGTGACCCATACCTTGATCCAACTCTCTACTTGCAAAGAGGGAAATAAAACAAGTGTTTTTCCTCTGCTCTTGCAGTTGTAGATTTCTGCAAACAGAACAATGGTGGTTGTGCAAAAGTCGCCAAGTGCACCCAGGCAAACACCACGGTCTCCTGCAGCTGTCCGACGGGCTACACAGGGGATGGCTTCAGCTGCGCAGAGGTAGACCCTTGTGCAGACGGCCTCAATGGCAATTGTCACGAGCACGCCATCTGTGAGATGACTGGCCCGGTGAGTTGCTTTTCCTCAGGAGAATCCGGGAGCATGTTCTTGGGCTTCACTCAGCCTGGCTTCTCTACCTCTCATTCAGCTCTTGCTAAGCTTTCTTCATATTACAATCTACTTATTATTTAAATTTAGAAGGTTAAACACAAAGTAAACATCCTGGACAGAAAAGAAGACATTAGTGGAAAAATGGGTGAAGCCCACATAAAATCTCTTGTTGAGTCAACAGTAGCAGACCATGTTAACGTCTGAGTTTTGACAACTGCACTGAGAGGTTTTACTGCCAAGAGGGAAAACTGGGGGAACTCTTTGTACTAGGCTTTGCAACTGTAAAATGAACTCAGAATCAAAAGGTTATTAAAAGCAAAAAAGGATGGTGGGAAGTGGCATGAAAAGTGCCGGGCTGGGAAACCACTGAGGTCTCTTTAGAATGGAATCAATATTCTGAGTCTATGGAAAAATAGAAGGCTTCCTAGTAGTGCAGTGGTTAAAGTACTAAGCCACTAACCAAAGACCACAGCCGATGCACAGGAGAAAGATACGGCTCTCCACTTCCTTAGACGAGGACCTTGGAAACTCAGGGACTGTTCTACTCTGTCCCATTGGGTTGCTCTGAGTTGGAACTGACACTGCAGCAGTAGGTTTGACAGTATCCCAGCATATGGAGGATGGAGATGCTCTGTGCAGACAGAAATGCATAGGAAGATGCTTAAACAGCATGGGAGAGCCATGATGTACAAGAGGCAGGCCAGCGTAGCTGCAGAACCTCTTTCTCTACGGTGGCAAGGACAGCATCTCTGAGGTGAGGCATGAGTTGACATGTGAAGAGTAACAGCCTGTCACCATGAGCCTGTGCAGAAGCAGGACATCACAGTTCCCCTGGAATCTTGCTGTTACTATTATACACCAGAGCTGGAACCAACCCATAGCTGACCCTCCTGGGTTTCCAGAGGCAGTTAATTGCATAGGAAGAGACTGCCTATCCTTCTCCCATGGAGAAGCTATGGGATTTGAACTACATACCTTTGACAGCGTCAGGATGGATGGCGAAGAGATTGAGATTGTTCACAGCTTCAGTTTGCTCGGCTCCACAGTCAACACTCTTGGCACCAGCAGTCAGGAAATCAAAAAGCATATCGCGATGGGAAAGTCTGCTGTTAGGGACCTCTCTAAAGTACTCAGGAACAACGGTGTCTCTCTGGAGACTAAGGTGCGCCTGATACAGGTCATGGTATTTGCAATCGCTTGTTATGCATCAGAGAGTTGGACAATGACTAGGGAGGACAGAAGGAGAGTAGATGCTTTTGAGCTGTGGTGCTGGAGAAGAGTACTGAATGTACCATGGACTGCCAGGAAAACAAACAGATTCATCTTGGAGAGGATTAAACCAAGCTACCCCTTGGAGGCAAGGATTCTGGGGCTTCATCTGACATACTTTGGACACGTTGCCAGGAGGGACGGGTCCTTGGAGAGGGACATCATGCTTGGGAGGGTGGAGGGACAGCGCAGGAGGGGAAGACCCTCTATGAGATGGATTGATTCGGTGACTGGAGTAATCGGGATGGGTATGTCAGAGGCAGTGCGGTTGGCGCAGGATAGAGCAGGGTTTAGGGCTGTTGTGCATAGGGTCGCTATGAGTTGAAAACGACTCGACGGCATATAACAACAACAACAACAACCTTTGGCTTGCCAGTGCCATGCCTTACCACTAAGCCATTGGAGCTCCCTCTCCAGGATAGAGGCATGAATTATTGGCCCTCCCCTAGATGATGGTCCGTAGGTATTTGGGAGTCCTTGGGTCCTACCGAAGGGGCTGTTTTCATCCTTTCCCATCTCCCCCACAGGGAAAACACAAGTGTAAATGCAAAAGTCACTACGTGGGAGATGGGATGGACTGCGAGCCGGAGAACTTGCCCATTGACCGCTGCTTACAGGACAACGGGCAATGCCATGCGGACGCCGACTGCTCTGACCTCCACTTCCAAGGTCAGTGTGGCTAAGTGTGATTAACCTTGACACTGTCTGGGGAAGGGACTTGTGATAGATAAAGGAGCAGCCCATGCACTGCCCAGGACCTGGCAGAGATGGTCAAGGTGAACTCAGAATTGAACCTGAGCCTTTAGACCAGGAATGAGCTCAAAAGTTTCCAATCCTGAGTCTTCCTGAAGGATCCCTGGTGGTGCAATGGTTACCTGCATTTCCCAAGTGACTCTTGTAGCCATTGACTGAATTGAAACCTAGGATGTGTAGCTTAGGATGTTCAAGAGCAAAGGGGAAGCATCTGCCACTTTCAGAAGCAATGTGTCAACATGTATAGTAACACATTCGTTGGCACGTGCCCCATTTATTTCCAAGAATTATTTGAGTGACTTATAATAAACCAATACTCAAACTAAAGTCATTGCCTTAAGTCAGAACTGATTGTTGTTGTTGTTGTTGGGTGCCATCAAGTATGACTTACAGCCACCCTACGAACAACAGATCTGAACCCTGTCCTTTCCTGTGCCATCCTTACAATCTCTGATGCACTCAAGCCCATTGCTGTAGCAACTGTGTCAATCCACCTGGTTGGTGCACCTAGAGTGCTCCTTAGAGGCAAAGATGATAACGCTTCATCTAATATACTGTGGACATGTTGCTAGGAGAGGCTATTCCTTGGAGAGTGAAATCACGCTTGGAAAGGTGAAGGGATGGAGAAGGAAAGGAAGACCCTCAACCAGGTGGATTGACACAGTGACTGCAGCAATGTGCCCAAGTGTGTCAGAGATGGTGACAACTTAGCTAGGCCGTGATTCTCAGTGGTTTGAAAATCGTGTAACAGGATTTCAGTTTTATGCTGATGTGATCATCCCGGTGATGGATCTGATGTGCTGCCATTGTTAAGTGCTGTCCAGCCCACACTCATGATGAGCCTGTAAACAACAGACTTCAAGTTGCCCTGTCCTGCACCATCCTCGCGATTTCTGCTGTACTCGAGCTCACTGTCACAGTCACTGTGCCAATCCATCTCTTAGCAGGTCGTCCTATCTTTTGTTGACCTTCTACCTTACCAATATGGTGTCTTTTTCCAGGGACTGGTCCCGCCTAACATGTCCAAAGTATATGAGACCAAGTTTCACCACACTTGCCTCTCAGGAGCAGCCTAAGTGCACTTGTCTTTTAGTGACCCTGTAGGACACTTCCTTGTTTTTTTTTTTGTTTTATTTATGTGTGTGTGTGTGTGTGTGTGTGTGTGTGTGTGTGTGTGTGCCATCAAATTAGATCTGACTGGTACAGAAGGAGATGGTCCCTCTTTCTCCAGCAAAGCATCTGGTGGATTCGATCCACATACCTCAGGGATTGTGGGGCAGCTTCTTGCCACTAGGCAACCAGAGCTCCCTGTAGGACACTTCCCTATAAAGTAAAACTTGCCTATAGGGTTTACAAGGATGTAGTCTTGGGACATGCTGTTAGGAAGGGCCAGCCCTTGAAAAAGACATCATGCTTGGAAAGATGGAAGGTCAGTAAAAGAAAGGAAGACTTTCAATGAGATGGCCTGACACAGTGACTGTCGCAATGGGCTCAAATATGTAGGAGAGGATGAGGATGGGACAGGATGGGGCACGGTTCAGATTCCTTGTTCGTAGGGTTGCTATAAGTCATGCTTAACTCAAGGCAACTAACATCGACAAGTCTCTAGGGAAGCAGACAGCAGCATCTTTCTCAGAAAAAGTGATGAGGTCAAGCCACTAACCATTCAGATAGCAGCCAAGTGCTATCACCCGGGCTCTTTAGGAAGCACCTGCACCACCTGGGCTCCTTAGGAAGTGCCTGAGGGTATGCTGAAACCTGACACAGAAGATTCAGAAGCCACAAACTTAGCTTTGAACTAGAACAAGAGGGGAGTTGGTGTTCCAGAAAGAGATCTGTACTTATTTATCCCAGGTTGTGCCTACTGACATAGTAACTTGGGGGCAGTTTCTGTGCTATTCAGCAAAAACTTATGACTTAACAGGTGTAATATACAAGTCCTGAGACTCCTCAGACACCTTTGGATAAAATTATTCCATTAGATAAGTACTACTTTGTCCCTCATCACAAGAGGGTGCCCAATGTAATGTAAAATTTTTCTTTTAAATTAATAAGAAATAGAAAGTGATGTGACAGACAAGAGCACTGTATATCACGCTGATGGTGCAGCTGAGACCAGACAGTGTGAACAGTCGAGGAAGGGAAAGATCTCCAGTGGTTGGAGGGTCTTTAGATAAGCTGAACCTTTTCATGTAGTCAAACGGATTCCTTTGTCATCGTTTGTCAGGTAAAGTCCATGTGTAAAGTCACCATTTGTGTCTTTTTAAAAGAAGGTGAACAAATCAATGTAATGCAATGAATAAGTCATTGAACTTCGATTATTTGATCATTCTATTTCCAGCCTCATTTCTGACACCAAGTCCATATTTTCTGACTACCATTCCTTCTTCGTTGTTTCCAAACTTTTGCTTTTCAGTCACCAATTATCATTCATACATCATAATTGCAAGTTTGGTCAATTCTGGACTGCAAGATTTGATATAAATTTTCAATTTCCTCCTCTTTGGCTCTAGATGAAGGAG